TGACAAATGAAGGCACATCTCTCCATAGATGGAGAGAGGCAAAACAGGCTTGGGGTTCAGGACTTTTATGGGGCAGGCTCAGGGGTTAGAGCCGGGCGGGTCCTAATGCAGTGAAGGGTTGGGTTGGCATGAGGGAGTCACAGTGAGTGCTTCTCAGAAATGCCCTTGAGTGGGAAAACAAGATTCTTCTTAAAATAATGGCTGTCACTTAAAATGGCCATCCAGATGCTAAGCAAGGACCTTACACATTGAAATCCTCAAATGGCCGCCAAGCCATCTCTTCTCTACTAAGCTCTCATATGCATAAGGGCCCTCCACCCAAAAAAACTGTCCCCCTCATAGGAACGAGGCACAGTTTCTCCTTTTCCCAGAGTGGCAAGGTTTAGTTCCCTACCAACCTACTGAATTATTTCAATGGTCCAGTCGCCTCACTTTCCAGGAACCAGGGGGCACCCTTTCTGTTGATACTGCAAGGCCTGTCCCTCACAGCTCTTGGTTGGCCATTCTTCCTACGTGCAGTTGCTGTCTAGCCCTGCACAGAGGTCTCCTCCCTGGGGTTGTGATTCTATGTGACAAGAAAACTGCTCTCAGCTTCACCTGTCCGGTCTCAGGAATCCTATGTTTAGCCATCCCATAACCCTAGAGCAGGAATCCCCACTCCCCACATCAACATTGTGGATAAAAAGATCGTAAAGGAAGCCAAGTCAGAAATGAGAGGAAATATCAACAGGCAATGGGTAGTGGCCAGTGAGGCGCCATCATGAAATATGGGACCAAAAAAAAAAAAAAAGGTTAAACTAGAGAAGACCAAAATAATGATCATGTATAATTTAGTACGTGTGCACGCATGCGCGTGTTTTCTGTGTATAGAGGCAGGCACGTTAGCTCCATCAACTTTGCCAAGCTGGGATAAAGAAAAACATCCAAATGAATCAGGAATGAGTAATTGATGATCATAACTGTGATTATAAGGCATAATTACAATTAGCTGCACAAGAGTGTTAATCATGAAAATAATTACATGTCAGCTTTCCTCCGAAAGAAGAGAGAATGTAATTAAGTGGTCCAAAGGGGGCAAAGAAAACACATCTCTGGGTAATATAGGTATGGGGTGAAGGGAAAATGTTTGAAGGGATAGAACTTCCCCAGGGCTTCAAAATGAATCAACCAATTTCTTCCATAAAATTATATGGGGCTCTATATGATGCGTTGATAAGAACAAACTGGCTTGAGATTTTTCTACCAAATCCAAACCTGAGGTTTGAGGCAGAACAGTGCAAAGATTGAAAGGAAGATAGACCTGAATTCATTTTTTTTTATTTTGCTAGTTACCAGCTCTATGACATTAGATGAGTTATTAAACTTTTCCTTAAGTCTCAGTTGCCTTAATAATAAAATAATTGCACATGCCTCTCTGAGTTGAGAAAATAAAGCTTGTATAACACTTATGTCAATGCCTTACATATAGTAAGCTCTCAATAAAGGTCTGCCTTTATTGTACAATAGGGAAAGAAAAAACAAAAAGAACAGATAGGAGTGAGAAAACTTCCAATATATTTTGCTGTATTTTTCAGCCCTGGTGCTTATATAAATTCAAAGAAAACCAGGCTCCTAACATTTCTTCTATTGAATCTCAGACATTTTTTATCTTTTTCAGAAGGGGCCCTACTTCTGATTTTCCTAAAGTTTCATATTTCAAAGTAGAGATTGGGTGTAGGTTTACAACGTGGGTCCCTTGGAGCTGGGAGTGAAAACTAGTCAGGCTAGAGCCACTTAGCTCCTGATCCATTCAGTTCCTATCTCTAATGTGGTCTTCCTAGTTGTTCTCCAGCCCATTAAATCCACCAATCCATTCAGTGGTTTCTGTCATTTTTTTTGCAATGGAGACAGCACATATGTCGCCTGCTGCCCATATATAATACAATGTGCAGGATAAACATCTACATGTCTATTGTCTGTAAATATAAGAATATTCCTGTTTATGTTTCTACTGAGCTTTAAAGCTAAGACCACATACTTTTTTTTTTTCTTTTTCAGTACTAGGGATGGAACCTAGGGCCTTATACCTGCTAGGCAAGTACTGCACCACTGAGCTACACACCCAACTTTTAAAATTTTATTTTAAGACAGGATCTCATTAAGTTGCCCAAGCTCACCTTGAAATTGTAACCCTCCTGCCTCAGTCTCCCTCGTTGCTGGGATTCCAGGCCTATACCTCCACACCCCGTAGAGACACTACATTTTTAGATGAATATCTTATAGAAATTTGAGTAGATTTCTTGCATCAATGACTCAAATTTTTCATCCTCTCTCTACCAGTCAACTGCTTTCTAACTCTAACTTAGGACTTCTGAACTTGGTCATGTGATTTGCTTCCATGAATGGGATACTAGCAAACAAGACACAGGCATGACATAAGCAGAGACTTAGAGAATTTTCATAAATAAACCTGCTTGCATTCTTAATTCTTCATCATTGCCATGACAACACACCCAAGCAAGACTTCTGGGAGATAAGAGACCTATAAAGCAATCACTCCAGCCAAACCTGTCCTAGATAAGAAAGTGACCAGTTGACTCCAGACATCTGAGCAATCTCAGACCAGTAGAACTTTAGTCAATTGCCCCAAGGACACAGCAATACTTATACATACCATATATCATGGAGGTTGTGCACTGCATTTTAAACAGAAGTATTGTGGCAATATGTAACAGATAAATTTTCCAATTATCAGATAACTCTTAAGCCTATAACCCTTACCAAGGGAATGAAAGTGGAGCAAGAGATTTATGCATGATTTCTCTAGAGAGTTGTACTATATGCTTCACCTCCAAGCTGAGAAAGAAGCATTGGAACAGGACCACCCAGAGAACTGCAGTAAGGAAATAGGGACAGGAGATGTACCGGCAAACTGTTGACGGGAAGCTGAAGAAAATAACTTCAATGATATTCACCTGCAAGCCCAGAATTCATTCGAGAAAAGATGCATGAGAGTTTCCCGTGTTCTATAGTTGGGTTGCAATACTAACACTTTGAGATAGAGAATTCTTTGCTGTGGGGTGTGAGTGGGGCTGTTCTGTGCCTTATAAGATATTTAGTAGATTTTCTGGTCTCAACCTGCCAATAACAATCCCACTGTGACAATTGAGATGTCTGCAGATCTTGCCAGTTATCTTCTGGATGACAAAATTACCCTCACTGAGAACTTTCTCTACTAGAAAGATGGTGGCTGAAGTTCTTGCCAAATTCCCAAGGGCTATAGAAAATGTGACCAGCCAGATAACAGGTGCCTCTGATTGCAAGAGGGCACAGCTAGTGAGAGACCTCTAGTGATGGAGAAGGGAGGGGTCTCCAAAGAACCAACCAGAATACTACAAGAGACAGAGATTCTATTTTTAATATCTGCCAAGTTGCAGGAACTTGAAGCCATCTCCCACTGGTGTCTATTAAGTGACATTCTGTTTCCTTGATCCCTCCACCTGCCTTCTCATCTCCAATCTGGAAGAGTCCAAAATAATAGCTAGGCAGAAACAGGAGATACAGAAGCCCACCACCCCTTTTGTCCTTCACTGCTGGCCTACTTCCCATACCTGGCGAGGGTGAATTTGAATTGGGCAGGATATAGTGGTACATACCTGTCATCCCAAGCAACTCATGAGGCTGAGATAGGAGGATTGCAAATTTGATGCTAGCCTCAGCAACTTAGCAAGGCCCTTGTTTAGTGAGACCCTTGTTTCAAAATTAAAATTAAAAAGAACTGGGTATATAGTATCTCAGTGTTCAAGTGCCCCTGAATTAAATCCCCAATACTAAAAAAGAAGAAGAAGAAGAAAAATTACCTAGTAGCTAATATTATTTTAAGTCAGTCAACATTCTATTTTCTTAATCTAAGCTGTGTTTGGGGATTATTAAATTTTATATTATGTAAGAATGACCGTAAAATTCAGGGAAATGCCTGTGTTTGTATTTAGTGGCAGGGAAACTAGCTGCAGTAAATAGATTAAAAGAAGCAGTAGGTTATTTTTTAAAAAGAAAGAAAAAAGTTGCTTTCTGGTTCATTTCCATTAACCTTTGTGGTTCAAAGGACTAGATACACATGCCTCCATATGGAACTGTGGATCACAAGATCATACCCTAGACTCTGTTTCTGGCAAAATGCAT